CCGTGGCATCAAGCCTAACATAATGTTCCATCACAAGACAGAGTGAGTCCATATTAAAAAGGAATTTCTTTAATGAACCTAAAACATTTGTTGCAACCTCACAACACTCAGTGGAACAAATTGTGTCAAGAGGAAAGATCGTTGAGCTCTGCAATGTAAGTTCCCACAAAGCCATTCCCTGTGTGAGCTTGGATATTCCACGTAACCTCTCTGATCTTTACATTTTCCTCTCTTTAAAAAGTTAGGCTTAACTAAACAAGAAACAAAAGTTCTTTCCCCTGGTCCTCCTCTTCTCAAGGTTTAATGACAATTATATTTCTTCATTTCAGGAAAGGAATAGTGAAGTAACATTAATAGTAGAAGCTAACATGTATTGATTGAGCAGGTATAGGGTGTCCTGTGCATTTGACATATATGAATTCATTTGATATGTAATAACTTTCCAGAATGACACGCTTTCTGATCTCCCAGGCTCCTCCTGTTATTTTGAAGCCATCCCCAGGCAGTCGCTAGTTGTGGTCTTTTAAGTTGGCCTCTTGAGGTTCTCCAAAAAGCTCTGGTTTAGATCCAAAACATTTAGGGGGACTGGAATTACAGATAAGACTCCTAATGTTTGTTTGACTCGGTGATCTAATTTATCAGTCTCCTTATTTCTTCTGGGAAATCAGCACTCTGCTTGTGTTTCCAATTCTCATTTGTACTTATACAGCATGAAAACTGAGAGCTGAGGCTTTAATTTTATGTTAAAGGCTAAGTTACACCATGGGCCTCCTTAGCCTTGACTCAGAAATTGAACTGTGGTCCTGAATGTCTTAAAGCCTGGTGCATTGGACACAAACCCAGACTCAAGGCCAGAGTTAGCCTGGCTATATCTTTTCCCTGTATTTCCTCTACCCTACACAAAGTTAGGCTTAATTGGGGCCCCTAGAAAGTACTTGATTCTCTAGGATTTCCTGCGATCTTATCAGCACTCTACCATATTCCCGTTCAGGCTGACCCTTCCCTGCTCTCCTCCTGCCTGAATTTCTTGGGAGCCAGGTTTCCTGTTCCCTGCCCTCAATGCATTGGTCCCCCTAAGAGTCCCCATCCTTTAGGGCACATGTGTCAAACACAAGGCCCGCGGGCCAAATCCGTCCCGCCAGGCCTTGCAATGTGGCCCGCACCGCGCTGTCATCACTGCACTCCGCTGCGTTTCCATCACAATGACACTTTATGACTGTTCAGTAAACCATTCGGCCCGCGATTTAGGCTGGATTTTAGATTTTGGCCCCTTCTCTAATTGAGTTCGACACCCCTACTTTAGGGCCTCTGTCTCCTTTCCCTCCCTCATTGCAGACAGACACAGACAGCAAACACTAGCTTTCAGTTCTGCTCTACGTGTCCAAAGCTGCCTGCAGCCATATCCTGCTCCCCTAGTCAGATTTCCCTTCACTCACATGCTTCCTTTAAACTAATTTTCTGATCAATCTCTCTGCCTTTCATGTGGGTGATACTAAGCTGCAATACAGCCTTACCTCTTTGCTAATGCTGCCACTCTGACCTCCTTCCTGAATTCCAATCCCTTCTTTCTAAATAATGATTAACATTTCCCTTGCATGCACCCTCCACCCCACCACCACCACCACCACAAACTCCATTGTCTTCCCAACTAAGCTTTGCTGTTCCACCAGGGTGTCCATTTTCTGTGAAGGCCATCACGATTTGATTCCCGTTTGTTTCTTATTCCTTTGTTTGATCAGGTGCCAAATTTATAGATTCTACCCTAAAAGCTTTCTCCTTTTTAATCTATTTCCTCTCAAGTCTCCTGGCACTGCCCCAGTGGATATTCTACTTTTGAGAGAGAAGGCTCACAAATGGCTCCAAAAACTCAATTAAGCTAGAGTTAAAACTGGAAGAATAAGAAATTCTGCATTTCTGTACATTCTAATTTAGGACGAAATATTACTGACACTGTTATTTTTTACATAAGTTCAATTAAACCTGATAGGAATCTAAATTACAGCCTTGCAACAACTATAAAAGACCATAATTATGTTAAGAGGCACTATAGTAATAATTTTAAGGGGGAAACTGTTCATAATTTTATCATAATCAATGAAATGCCAGCTCAAATTACTGAAAGCAATGGTAGTCTTAGTATTTCAGTACTGAGAGAAATGATAATAAAAACCATGGGGTGGGAAGGTATTGGCAAGCAAACTGGTCTATGGGCATAATCCCCACTCCACTCTCACCTCTCTCCCTGGCTCTCTCATGTTCTCAGTCTCTCCATCCAGAAAGGTCTGTTTAAATGTTTTACATAGTGGGCTTTCTCTCTTCCTTTGGAAGAAAAGATCTACGCGTTCACCTTACCTACACATAGCTTATTTTTTATGGTAGCTTCTTATGCTAAAGTCATCCAAATTCATATTTTTATTTTTTAATTCTCACAAAAATGATCACGTACATGAATCAACTCTTCTCCCTGCATGGACTATTGCAGAATTCACTTGAAATGGCCAACCATTCTGCCCAGGACTGGAGGAGACTCCAGGCTTGAGACTAGACAAGGACTTGTGATCTCTTGCTAATCACACTTGCCAAGTGTGAGTACCAAGAAACTCTTTTGTTAAGTTCCTCAGAGAAACAGCTTTCTTGGACATTGTCCCTCTTCTCTTCCTTCTTCTGAATGGCCCTAATTCTTTATCTCTTCTGATGCTAATTCAACTCAGCAAACATTTGCTGAGTGCTTACTACATGCAAGGTGTTTTCTACATTATTTTTAGTTATGTCCATGGCTATTTCCCCTTCTGGGGGGTCACTTCTGATGGGAGCCTCCTGTTGCATCTACCTTACTTTCTATCCCCAGGGCCTGGCACAAAGCCATGGGTGCAGTCAGCATATAACAGACATTTTTTACTGGGGGGGAAAAAAAAACAAGATGGTGGAGATGAACCATCCTACTTCAAAGATCTTTTAATAAAAGTATCATTCAAAGCTAGCATCTAGGATCAATTGGCTATCTGAGTTTCGTGCCACTTATGCCCTATTATTTTTGTGACAATAGTTTCTAAAACCATGATCAGATCGAATAATGGACAATGTACCATTCATGGGCCCCAAATATTAGAGCATTCCCTGAAAGTTCTCAGTGAATTTGAGTTCATTGCAATTCTAGTTTTTTAGTCTGCAGTTAGAGAAATCTGAGCACGCACAATTAGAGTTATTTTTAATATTTGACATTTAATAATTTCATTATTAGTTAAATTTTAAATTAAGGTATTTAAATTTTGGTCAAATTAAAGTAGTTAGTATCACTTTCAAAAGTATAGTGGGATAAACATACAGAAGCAGGAGAGTAAAAAACAGAGTGTACCATATGCTATTCTCTATCCCACTTCACCATCCGATCAAATAACATCAAATGAACCCAGTTGTCTGTTTTTTATCATAAATTAAAGCAAAAAATGTGAGCTGAAGACACACACAAAAATTCTTCTCAGCTGCTATTACCTGCCATGGAAACAGCCAGTGCCAACTCTGATAGCATTAAGTAATTGTTATTAAATAATATATATAGAGAGATTATTTAATTAAAAAATAAATCTGTACATATTTTTTTCATGAGTTTATGTTTTTGTTTCCCAGTATTTTTCTTTTTCAGAGATGTATATGGTTTTTTAAAAAGTCAATATTTTAAGGCCTTATTATCATGTAATTAACCAACCAATTTTAATGAACTAGTGATAAGAAGACAACTTTCACCTAAATTATAAAGATTATACAGTATTGTAGATGTGTGCTGTTGTTTTAAATTCAAAAACCCATAGGTGTGAAATATCTTAAATGAGTGGTTATTTGAAATTAAATTAATCATATTTTAAGGAAGCATAAAAATGTAGAATCATAAATGCAATGGGTGCCCCAAATTAGTATCAGTCAACTGAAAATGGGGGGAGGGGGGGGGAAATCAACCAACTAACTGGCTCTATTACTTGTACTTTGCCAAGCAGCCAATAGGGCTGGCTCTTCCAAATCAGCTGAGTCTCAGGCTACAGGAGAACAGTTACATGGCAGTCAGTCATTCCCTTTCCAGGTTTCAGTAAGGTTGTCTTTTATTTTGGCCTTCATGACAGCAAAGCTTTATGGGATCCACTTCTCTATTAATAATAAAATTCATTCCAATCAAGAAAATCTGCAATTTAATGTAGAGGATAACCAAAGACCCCTGAGCACTCACTACAGAGAAGCACATCCATTTTGTGAAATAAATATCGAACAATAGCACATTTGAATCCTGAAAATGTAACCTTAAGCCAATTATACTTAACATGAATTTTGATTGCATAGACTGAGGCTTCTTGACCAGAAGAATGGTGGGCATGTCCTCTGTCACTAATGTCAGTGTGCCTTACCCCTAAGGGACGGATCTCTTAGCAATCTGGATAGGATTGAGAACCACTGTTGTAGAGCATTTAACAATGGGGTGGGGGAGGGAGAGTAAAAATGATCTCTTTAATATAAAAATGTACCAGCTAAGAACTTGCAAGTGAGTCAAATAAGATTTGTCATGTTCTGCATGACTGAAATATATGACCATGCAGATGGGTTTGTATCAGTGATTTATAACAAGAAGGCAGCGGTCCTGTGGGCACTTCAGAACCGTCTCAGCTGAGTTCCTCCAAAATCAAAACAAATTAGAACAACAAAACTGGACTCTGTGCCGTAGTTCAAGAACGTCTGTTCTTCACAGGTGCATTTCTGCCGTTGACACAGTGGCTAAGACTGCACTGGGACGGTCCTGGGTAGAACATGTTAGGTACCTGAAAAACATTTGTTGAATTAATAAAGTTGAAGCTGGGTGAAGTTAATTAGCTGTTTCCACAATTGCAATTCTATTGTGAATTTTTAAGCTGATAACTTTTGGTTGCTCAGTACTCCCTTGACTCTTATGATTGGAAATTGTGATAAAGTGATAAATGTCTTGTATTGATTGCCCTGTTTTATTTGCATATTTACAGGCCAATGGACATAGTTTTGTACATATGGAACATGAAAAAGCTGTATTGCTACTGAAGAGTTTCCAGAACACAGTAGACCTAGTTATTCAACGTGAGCTTACTGTCTGAATATTTTTTATAAATAGTGAAGATAACGTCTAGCCAGACCTAATGTTCAAAAATAAATTTATACATAGAGACAAATTTTGCCAATTGCTGGACCAATGGCAAACATTAGTGCCAAATGTATAATACTATATGTTAGCACTGATCATCCTTACAAATGTTAAAACTATATAAATATGATGTTCATGTAGTTATGTATTAGTTTTAATTATCAGCCTCTGGCTGTGCATTGGTGCAGGGTTGTTTTTTTTTGTTATTGTTGGTTTGTTTGTTTGTTTTTAACCAAATAAGTTTCTTCTCAAAGTGGATTTCATATGATTTCGGAAGCACGGAAGCACACACAAGCTCTTTACAAATTCTGCTCTCCATCAGAAACACTGCCTCAATGTTGTATCTGCCTTTCTATAGAAAATACAAATATGAAGAATTGTAATTCCCATAAAATATTTCTAGCACAAGGTGTATGTTGGCATATACACACAAAAAAGAATATAGAGCAAAACAATATTTTCATAAACTAAACATCTTGGATTGAGAAAGCAAATATATCTTAAAATAAGACTTTACTATATTGACTCTTTTTTCAATAAAAATTACATGATAATGCCTTATGGAAGTAACTGTACATATGGTAAAAAGTGTTTATATTTGGTTCCATATTCATTTGCTAAATTCTCATAAAACAGAGTGAAATATTTCATAAATTAGCCATTTATCTCTGGGACCTGAATAAAACTAGGACGAACTAATTTATTCAATGCCTTTAGCTAATTACAGAACCTGCAGAGTTAAAACACAGACTAAAGGTCATCATAGGTAAATCTTTTCACCACAAATTTAAGCAGTGGATGATGGGTGGCAGGAAAGGTATTGCTTTATTTCTTTCAAGTTTATATTGATTATAAACTGTAGCCCTTGTGATTTCTTTACTTGTAAATGTGGAATTTATTTGTGTGTTGCTTTCTCTAATTTGCTACTTTTAAATACTTTGAAATGAGTTTTGGGGATTGATAAAATTTATCATTAAAAAAGACTGCTGTTAGAAAGTTAATGTGGGAGATTTAAAAACTTTGGTATTTAAATATGAAACTTCAAATATAATTCCTCAGAGCAATAGTCTACCTGTAGTATTCATTTTGATGCCTGTTTTTGTGGGCAAAAATAGAGAAAATACTTTTGTTTCAAAAAAGTTTCAAAGTATATAAAATCCTGAATTTTGTCTCACTGGAGAAAAAGACAAGCATAGTTCATATGGGCTTAGTTATTTTTACATTAGAACTGTTTTCCTCGATAAAAAATAAATCCATTTTCTAATCCTTTAAACACATTTCTTTTATATACTTATCATTAATTTGATTAAAATATTAATTTTAAATTTTAGAATAATCTCTCAAAGTTGGTTGTATGAATTCTCTCTCATATTTCCATATAGCTCTTTTTAATATATATGTAATAAATTTACTTTACACACTAGTATTAGGATTTTCACAGTAGTATCCGATATTGATGTCACTGAAGCTCTGAGAATAATATTTGTAAGTTAAATGTTTTATGGGGACATTGAAAATATTGTATTTTTGTAGGGTCTATTAAAATGAATGTCACTTATTAGAAGTATAATGGTATTTTTTGGCAGTAGAATTTGTCACTTAAAGGCAAATGATACTTCACTTTATAGATGATGCACTAATTTTGATGTTGCTTTATGTCAGGGTGACATTATACCATGATTTTATAGAGTTTGACATTTAACAAATGATTAAATGATTGACCTATTTAATATGTTTCCCAGAAGTAACTTTTAAATGCATTTTAATATACTTACAGTTTCTGATGAGAAATGTTTTTCAGAGCCTAATTTTCTTTGTCAAAAACTTGCACCAAGCCACCCTATCCAGCTGCTGATAGAGGATAATCGTCATTAATCAAGATAGAGGCCCTCACTGGCCTCATGAGATCACTTAAAGAAAAAAGCAAACTCAAGGGTGTAATTTGCTGGCAACACAGCAGCTCAAATCATCCTGTCAGTTTTGTTGAATCTTTTATGGCAGAGGTGGGAGAAGAGCCAGATAGAGGCCCTCCCAGGTCCTTTTCCTTAGGTCGGGTCTCCACCCCAACCCCAGGCTCCAGGAGGTGCTTCTAAGGCACAAAGCTGAGAGGACCACGATCCTAGCAAACCCTCTCCCTCCTGAAGTGACCGCAGTGTCTTGGCCGTCGCTCTGCAGTCCAAGAAAGAGGGAAAGAGGAGAGGGAGCCCTGACCAACTGGAAAAGAACTCCGATTGCCAAAGCACCTCATGGTCAAGTGCACTGCCATGCTGCAGACCGAGAAAAGGCAGGTAATGATGAAAAGAGGCATTGTTTTATTTTATTTTTTAATACATTTTATTGATTTTTTTACAGAGAGGAAGGGAGAGGGATAGAGAGTCAGAAACATTGATGAGATCGCTTCTCAGCTTTTTGCCTAAGATCAAGTGTAGTATCTGTTCTTATCAGAAACATTGATGAGAGAGAAATATTGATCAGCTGCTTCTCACACACCTCCCACTGGGGATGTGCCCACAACCAAGGCACATGCCCCCGACAGGAATCGAACCTGGGACCTTTCAGTCCGCAGGCTGACGCTCTATCCACTGAGCCAAACTGGTTAGGGCAAGAGGCATTGTTTTAGGTTGACTGAATTTAAAAAAAAAAAACCACTAAGCACTTCAGGGCAGGAGAGAGAGGGAGCTAATTGATTCTACATGTGACCAAATAATTCATTGATTTTCTTCATATTGGCTTTTTTTTGGAATAACTGGTTTTGCTGCCTGAAATAAGAATCTGGTTTGTGTTCATGAAAACCAAAACCAATATATATAAAGATGTGCCTTTAAAAAAAGGAAAAATCAGCAACAAGGAAAGGGTGGCATTGGTGATGGCTCCAAGAGACTCTACCTCCTGATCTTTGATTTGCATTGGCATCTTCCTGCTGAGGAAGCTGGCTATATCGGATGGACCAATCTGTAAGACACGATGGAGGGGAAGGAGAAAGATCAGAGGTGAGAAGAACAAGCACTGAGAATTACTAGCGGAAGTGCTGCAGATTTTGCAAGTCAAATAGGCGTTACTGGATGGTTTTTTAAAACTATTCAGATGGCTTCTAATACATTGTTGCGAAAGCTGTCTTGCGGTAGTAATTCGAACCTTCCAAACAACACATGTCCCCTAAACAAGCATAATAACTTCAAAAGATAAGCGTGCTTTCAAGAAGGGATCATCAGATCTTTACATCATGCTATTTTACTGCTGAAACCTAAAAAAAAAAATACATGTGGCCCAGTTCATTAGAACTGCGATTCTGTAGCCATCAGACAATTCTGGCTGTTTCTGGGCCTGACCTGGGAGGGCCACCTTGGACAGTAGTTTTAAAGAGGGGGTGACAAGGCTTGTTTTCATTAAAAATAAAAATTATTTTTAATCTCAAAGATGATTACACACATGTCACTAATATATTTGCTTCTTTAAACTAGGTCTGAAATACATTTTACCTGTAGAACTAAAAAGAGAATATTCAGAGGGAGGGGGGAAAAAACAAAAAAAAAACACTAGAGAAATTCAATTTATTTATTTATTTATTTATTTATTTATTTATGCTGCAAAAACTTTGTTTAATTTGGTCCAATGCATGGGAGAGGGCTTCAGGATGGTTAAAGGATGGCTGGTAGTTTCGGGGAGAAGCTCAGGCAAAAGCCAGACCCAAGGGGGATGCAGAGGGGCACCTCAAAGCCCTCTGGGCTCCAAAGGCTCCTAGTTGTGCTTGAGGGTGAGCCTTTGAAGAGATACTCGCCCAGCCCAGCCTGGGGGCCGGCTGGCAGCCTGCGGAGGTGAGGCAGGTGTCGCCCATATTATTTTATTGATTTCAGAGAGGAAAGGAGAGGAAGAGAGAGATAGAAACATCAAGGATGAGAGAGTCATCCATCTCCTGCCCTCCTGTACACTCCCTACTGGGGATCAAGCCCACAACACAGGGATGTGCCCTGACTGGGAATCAAACCTGGGACCCTGCAGTCCGCAGGCCAATGGGCCATCCACTGAGCCAAACTAGCCAGGGCTTGCCCATCTTTTTGATGAGTTCCACCTCCTCATCCAGGAAGTGGTTCTCCCGGAAGTCACAGGGATGGGGGTCTGTGTGGGTGGAACCCAGGGCCTGCAGCTCCACAGGGGCCTGGTTCAGGTTCCTCTTCGAGGCCAGGGCGGCTTCCATGGCAGCCCGAGTTTTGCCCACTCACCTTGGGGAGGCTCAGCACATCCAGGAAGAGAAAGTGGCCATGGCGCTGGTTTTGCAACTTTAAGATACCTCAGCGCCCTCGCACTTCTTCTCCCCCAACTCGAGGAAGAAGTGGCCCCCTCCCTCGAGAGCCACATCCTCAGGGTGGAAATAGAAGCCCAGAGAGAGGTAGGTGTGGGGGCCCACAGAGGCAGGTGGGCCAGATGTGTGACCACAGCCTCCACCTCGGTGGGATAGTTCTGACAAATTTGGGAGCTCATAGTGGTTGGGCAATGAGAGTTAAGGTATGTTGGCTGGTCTTGGAGGTGGTTCTGGAGGTGGTGACTGGATAAGAGAGGGACTGGAGGTTGGAAAAAGGGAGCGTCTCTGGGTCTGTTCCGTCCACTGTTGAAGCAAGAGACAGATCCGGGACTGTCAGAAATTAGATTTATATATTCAAATATAAAGTGAAAAGTATCTGAATTGTCCAAAATGAATGGTGAAGGAAGCCAGGAAAACATTTTACTTCTAAAGATAAAATGTATTTAGTATCCCCACCGCAATATAAAGCTTTAAAAAAACATAGTGTTTGCCTACTCATCTTTCCATCGGCCGTTAATGCGGCCTTCAGTCAATCTCTGCCCTCATTGGCGCACAGATCAAGATGTCTCTTCTGAGGAATACACTCTTATCCTGAGGCGACAGTACAGCGTCACCAGGTAAAAAGCCACGTGAGGGTAGGATTACCTCCTAACAGTCTTTCCTTGGCATTTTCATTCAGAACACCTGTTTCACGGATTCCTGATATGCTGACCAACCAGCAGGTTTATGGAAACAATGGGTCAGTAAACATTAGGCAGGTAATTAAACCCAGTAAGTTGAGAAGATGGGTCCTTCACCAGCATCAAGAAAAGCAGGATTGAGGTTCCCATAGAGTTTCAGTTGCAGAAGTGCCAGACCTCTCTGAGGCTCAATGAAACATCCAAACACAGAGTTGGTGAGATGTTTGGTGGTTCTAGTTATCTGCTCATTCAAGAATTAGAGGGAAATCTTCATCTTTGAGATAACGGGCATGTACTTTTCCCCACTGCAATAGAACTGCCTTTTATTAAGAAAAGCAGCCTGCGTCTGCCCAGAATATTATCCCAATCTCAGCAAGACTGTCCCCCCAAGTAGACGTCATAGCAAGAAAACAAGAGAACGGGCGTGGGGAAATAGACAGGCACTATTGGAAGCATATGGGTTCATGTTATAGGAGGTGTCAGCTCTCCTGTGCCTCCTTTGAGCTCCATTTGACCTAAACTATTCAGGGAATGTATTTTCCAGAAAACCCCGCTATACAGAAGTAAGGCAGATGCAACCAAGTTCTCTCGTTATATGCTGAACCTTCTGGGGCATTTCTGTTTCTCGTGTGTAAAGCTGACCTCCCTTCATTGCTGCTGGTGGTCCTGTAGATCATCCCTCCTACTCCGGTGATGTTCCACAGGCCATGAGTGGCTGCTTCTATCCTGCGGACACAGGATAAAAAGCCCCCTTAGAGTCCCACCTGTTTGAAGACCCTTGAGTATCAGCTGATGATGGTTCCAGCTTCCAGTTTGGGAAAAATGTTCTTGGTTGTTTCTGGAATAGTGCCATTAACCAAGGCAGAGCACATGTCATGTCTCTGACAACAGCAAACAAAGCTTGTGCACAAGGGTGAGGGTGGCGGCAAAGCCTTAATAGAACTTTGTTTCCACTTCCGGTTTTAAAATGTTGCCCTTTACCTTCCCAAAGACCTTCTCTTAGACTCCTCCTGCCTGATTGGTATTGGGACAGGTTCCATTTTTGCTCCACTTGGACGCTGTCTGCCACGGAAACTTTCCTGGTTGAGGGTATACATTGCACAACCTTCTGCTCTGGAGGATTCAGAGATTTCTGAGAAATGAAGGGAAAAGTCCACTCTAAGATTTGGTTAAAAAAAAAGAATAAATTAAAATCAAGGAATATTGAATCCCTAGGCTTTTAACTACATGAGAGCAGCTAATGGGAATTAAGAGAGAGGAACTAGTTCTCTGGCTCCAACTTTAGAAGCATTCACTTCCCCTGGTGGTTGCCCAGTTGGATTCAGCTGTCGGGCTGTCAGCTCTCCTGGGAAAACCCAGTGGTCACTAACTGGGCTGCAAGGCGGGCACAGATGAGAAGGATCAGTTGCACCAGTACTTCTCCGCATGATCCTGCCTGCAAAACATGTGTGGTGTTGGTTTGGTTTTGTTTGGGGGTGGGGGGTTTTTTGGGGCCTGATTTTGTTAATAGAAGCACTTCAAACAGTGGAAGGTTCTAAAATCCATGCCATGTTTATGAAGAAAGCACTGAAATCCTGT